GGCCGTTCCTGACATTACCTAAGTGTTTGGGGACAGAAATGGATACTACAGAATTTTAATAAACGTTTCAACAGTTCCCATTGAGAATCTTCATTAGGAATGGCAGCTGGCTCTTCTCAGGACCCGTCTCAGCACCGACTGCTGTGGCTGTATCTTCTGTTTTTCAATTAACTTACATGATTGTTAATACATTAGCTGATAGTGAAACATTTTAAAACACAAGCTCTTTACCAAAACATTATTCCGTCCAATACTGTTTTACTTTCCCACTCATATTCATAAATAATATTGCTTTACTTCTGTTGGGTGTTTGCTTCCATTTCTTTTGCAGGTTTTCGCGTTAATTCTGTATGAGCTTTATGAAGTAAATAGTGGGGTGTTCCTTTAAATTTGGTGATTAGCCAGAAGTGGTGGCACCACCTGGAATACCGACAAGGGAGCCTGAGGCAGAAGGGTCATAAGGTCAAAGTCAGACCTCTGGAAATTGAAGGTAAGGAAAGTTGGTGTGACAGAGCTCGTGCCTGGTGAAGCCGGGCGAGTGCTTGAGTTGTAGCCCCACATCCCTGACTTGTGGATTTTAAAAACACACATTCCATTTTCTGCTTGGGAATTGGTCAAATGACATTATTTTCCTTGCTGGGATCAGTAATGTAAAGTCAGACGTTTTCTTCTAGATTTCCCAGGGCTTCGCTACCTACTTTAGAAGGAGCTAACCTGGCCTCATTTCCTGGGAGAATGTTCTTCAGAGTCCTGTGTTTCTAATCATTACTCTTAAATCTGGTCAATGAATGTGAGTGCTATGTTCCTCTAGTCTTGTGTGTTCATGCAGGAGAATGTACTGCATGTGCCATGGATGGAAATTTTACTCAATCGTTCTTCCGGTTGTTTTCTTACTAGTATAAAAAGTTCATCTGTGGGCTGGAGAGATGGCTCAGAGGTTAAGAGCATTGCCTGCTCTTCCAAAGGTCCTGAGTTCAATTCCCAGCAACCACATGGTGGCTCACAACCATCTGTAATGGGGTCTGGTGCCCTCTTCTGGCCTGCAGGCATACACACAGACAGAATATTGTATACATGATAAATAAATAAATATTTAAAAAAAAAGTTCATCTGTGCACTTATGCAATTTACCAACTTCCCTCCTTTCATAGTTTTTGGGAATTGTAACACTGTAATGCTGAAGCATGGTTATCACAGCTGATCCATTTGACCAGTGTTCCAGGAAAACAGTCACAGATAGGCTTTCGCGACTGTGTAAAGCATGTGGGGGTTGTTTTAGTGAGCAATGAATCTGAGCATTTAAGCCCCTGTAAAGGTAGAGTGATGCCATCCTTAATTGAAAACCCTTTCTGCACGTATTTTCAATGTCCTTACCAAACAGTAGAGGAATGTGTGCTTACTCATAAGATGCACTCCTGGTGTATGAATTGTATTTAATGGCTGCCTCATGGCTTCACTAAACTAGACTCTGCACGAGATAAACTAGTTGACTTGGTGACTATTAACTGAGCTTCCAGTCAAAGCCCATTATGAGGAACTAAAGCATGGAGTCAGATGGAGCAGCTAAACCAGCAAAGCAGCTACAGGTGCTAGCCCACTCTGCACGAGACACAGACGACTGCGCATGCTTTGAAGCAGGGCTTTCAATAGTCCCTGGAGTGGGCAAATTCTCTAGCACCATTTATGTGACTTAAATCCCACCTGCCAGATTTAGCTCTTGTCATGTTTTAGGAAATTAAATTATGTGAATTAGTAATTACATTTGAAAATGTTTCAAGTCTCCAAATCAGGAGCAGAAGGAGAGAGAGCACGAGCAAGGAACTCAGGACCGTGAGGGGTGCACCCACACACTGAGACAATGGGGATGTTCTATCAGGAACTCACCAAGGCCAACTGGCCTGGATCTGAAAAAGCATGGGATAAAACCGGACTCGCTGAACATAGCGGACAATGAGGACTACCGAGAACTCAAGAACAATGGCAATGGGTTTTTGATCCTACTGCCGTACTGGCTTTGTGGGAGCCTAGGCAGTTTGGATGCTCACCTTACTAGAGCTGGATGGAGGTGGGTGGTCCTTGGACTACCCACAGGGCAGGGAACCCTGATTGCTCTTTGAGCTGACGAGGGAGGGGGACATGATTGGGGGAGGGGGAGGGAAATGGGAGGCAGTGGCGGGGAAGAGACAGAAATCTTTAATAAATAAATAAATTAAAAAAAATGTTTCAACTCAATGGGCTTCCTGAAACAAAGGACATCCTGGATACACTTTACACTTGATACAGCATGTTAGGCACTAAACTTTTAACTCAAAGTGGGCACTAGTATCAGTGAATATAACGTCCTGACTCTTGACTGCCACACACTACTCCACTCAAATTTATCATCAAACACTACTTGTGTAATTTGATCACACCGATGTCCTCAGGGGCAGAGAGATACATGGTTCTCAGTTAAATCTCACGTTATTGGCCTTTCGTTTTCAATTTTGTTTTTTTTTTTGTCATCTTTCCTACCGGCAGTTATAGGCATATTTTATTGTTTACCAGAAGGATAGAAACTTCTTGATACTGGTGATTTGTTTAGAAACAGAAAACAGATAACCAAACTTACTGGGATTTGCTCTGAAGAAAAAAATAAAGGAGATTGAAGATGGAAGAGGACTCAGGCACTGACTGGCTTTGGAACACTGTGAGCACACCTTTGGGCTTTTTCCGATTGGTGATGCAATCTCTGATGAATCTAAATCTAGATGACTGAAATGCAATTAGTTAAACATGTTGGGTAGGTATCAAATAAAACTGTGCCCTGTTTTTGTTGTTTTTTAGAATGGAGCTTTAAAACTGTTTGTTTAGGGATACAGACTAAATACACTTCTAATCAAAGACTGAGAAAAATTACACAGATCAGCAGCTAGCTTAATTGGCTTCCTATAAACTTATTAATGAGGTTACAAAATACAAAAGCACTCCAGTGAATCATGAGGTGGCAAACTGAGAGCTGAGTTGTAACACGCTTTCCACAACACAACGTGCTTAACTATGCACAGTGAGTCATCTCCCTCCAGCCTGATAACGCTCTTGGCTACCTCGCATTCTGGGAGGGTGGTGCTTATCTGCTGAGCAAGGGTGAGTAGTTCTCTAGGTCAGCAGGCTAGGCCCTCACAGCAGTCGTGAGTAACAACAGCTGTCTCTCGAAGGTTCTAGAATTCTCGGGACATACTTTAAGAACTAAGAGGATCATCATGTGTTTGATTGTTCAGTGCCTATGTAAGGTGCACGATAGAATTCTGTGAACATACAGATGACGGCAACTCTACTGCTCATGGCAAAGCTTATTAAAACACCAGCCTGCTGCCAGATGTGGATTCTGGGCACAGCAACAACTTTAATATGTTCAAAAGTGGAAAATGTAGGAGGGGAAAACCGTTTTACTCTCAGGGCACTAAAATTATCCTCGGAAAAAGATTTCACTTTTCTCATTACTCTATTTGACAAAATTAAAAGTTGATCATTTCATTTTAGACTACCAACTTCCAATAAATTTGCCTCCTGTGGAACAGAAAGTATGGCAACCGGAATGCTTTTAGAAGAACGTCGCTGGAAGCCGCATGCTTTCCAGACAGAGAAGCAGAGGGACCACAGACAAGGGATCCAAAGTCTTGGTGAGGACTTTATTCCAGTCTTGTGACCAACTGTGGAAGAATAACTGGTTAATCTGACAGTGAAGGCACTAGGGGCGAATGGTCTCAGAAAACAAACGAGAAGGCACAGCCACTGAAGATGAATGCTCCACTAGTCCCAGTGGCAGGTAGGAAGAGGAGGAGTTAAGGGTTTGGGTGCAGATCTTGTAAAGCTCCCCCAGCACAGATATTTTCCAAATCTAGCTTTAGGATCTCGCTGTTGGTCCTGAGGAAGGTAGTAGCACACTGTGGAACCCACTGCCAACATATGAGATACATTTACAATCCCAATACATGCTTAATGGAATGTTTAGTATACTCAGTAATTCTAGCTTCATTACCACAAAGATGGAATGTCTGTCTCCTATACCTCTATGGAAAAAGACGAGGGGCTCAGGCAACAGCTCAGTTAGTAAGATGCTTGCCACATAAGTACCAGAACCTGAGTTCTGGTCCCCAGTGCTTACTGCAGTGCACGATTGTAACCTGGGTGCTGGGAAGATGGGGACGGGGCAGCTCCGAGGCTCACTAAGCTGGCCAGCCCAGTCCAATCTGTGAGCTCCAGATTCAGGGAGAGAACCACTGAGGAAGATAACCCACACTGACCTCTGGCCTCTACACTCACAGGTAAACACATCTGCAAACTCAGGTACATGCACAGACAACAGACAACTAAAAATAAAACATCATGAACTGAGTGGACTGTATCTTTAATAGTTTATGGGTAGCCATTACATGAGAACTGTAATGTAAAATAAAACTAAAGAGATGCCCGACAGCTGGCTAAAATGACAAATAATTCAAAATTTCCAGTAAACCTATGTTGAAAACTTCCTTATATTTTGTTTCAATGGTTTTTACTGTTAAAAAGACACAAGAGGGAGCTCAGTGCAGAGCTCTTGCCAGTGTGGGTGAAGCCCTGTGTCCCATCCCTAGTACCATAAAAGTGACTGCGTGAACATAAACTCATTTGTACCGCTTTTGACTTTCATAATACTATGACCCCTTTTCCAGTTCTTGATTTCTGGTTTCAAACTATCACTACCTCTTCATTTAAGTGTCTTTATTCATTTTATTAAAAATTTCGCAGGGCTATAGTGATGGCTCAGTTGTTAATAGCACTGGGTGCTCTGGCAGAGGACCCAGGTTCAGTTCCCAGCACCCACATGGTGGCTCACAATCATCTGTTAGTTCCAGTTCCAGAGGACCCAACATTCTCTTCTGCCTTCCTTGGGCACCAGACATGTGCACGGTGCACAGACATAGATACATGCAAACAAGCACTCATACACATAAAATAAAAATCCTTTCTAAAACATGTCTAAATAGACAAAGGTTTTAATGTTAAAACAAATGTTTTTACATTCACACTTCACAAACATTAAGAGTATAAAATGTATCAATGTAATTTAATTATGTGATAAATTGATTTATAACTATTTTCCTTTTAGCATGGAGACTTGGCTTGCCATCACTAGTCTTTCTCAAACAGCTAGATATAATCGCTAATGAAAGAGAACAGAATGTATTATATATGTGGCACCAGGCTCACTAAATGCTCATTAAATAAATAAGAAACCCTAGAGATGACCCATCTAACCCAGCAGACCTGACAAATGAGTGTCCCCAAATATAACTGTTCTGCTTTTCCCCTGCTCCTAGAGGTAACAAGTTTTATGGCAGAACTCAAGTACTAAACTAAATTTCACCTTTGTTATATATCCTTATTTTACCCTTAACAGTGTATCATTTCAGTTATGAAATGAGCGGTTCTGCTGTGGTGCTGTTGCCTGCAGTATCCGCGGGTAACACCTGCCCGGCTGACTTCCCTGCACAGCTAGTGTCTAGTCCATCTGCATTAGGATCCCGCAATGCTGCCTCTATCCTACCTCTCTTTAGACAATTCTAGAAAGCTTCATTGTGTTTTGACAATTTTATTCAAAGTCTTGATTTAAAAATCAATTTAAAGTATACAAATGTTTGTGTGGAGATCAGGAGAGGAATGGAAAGTAAAAGTAGTAAGCCTTGCTGTCTGAGTCATCCTCCTTGGCAGCAGGCAGATCACGCTGTGCCATATGTCCTCGCAGGCGCTCTTCTGCCATTACGCACACAAACATTTTGTCTATGCTTTGTGAAGTTAATGCAATAAAGAGCTATCACTTCTTAAAAAAAGACCAAAACTTTTTCTCTCAGTATGTGCACACTCAACCCCTTAAATTACAAGTGACTTAATATTCTGTTGCCCTGTTCCTCTGTAACTGACTACAAAAATGAGAAAACACAATTGAGTATGGGTTATTTTAAGGCAAGTTCAGATACTTTACATCTACTTGACCTTCATACTGCAGCTCATAAGTAGACCTTCGTGGTAAGTGCTCTTACTGCCCAGCTGGCACCAAGTTAAACAGCACACACACACATACACACACACACATACACACACACACACACACACTGAGCAAGCCTTTTGTATGGTGATCAATTTTTTATGATGTAAGTAACTGTTTCTCGCTGGAACATTTGTATATCTGATTTACTTTACAAATTGAGATAATCATAGAAATGAGACAAGAATATCTATAAAACAAGGGGCTTTATTGCCCCAAAGAAATTCTTGATGGCAATATTTTTCATACTTCATCTAAAAACAACAGAGTTCCACAAAGGCCAAAGGATGACAAACTACTTCAAATGAGCAAAACAAAATAGTACAAAAATACATTTAACAGAACAGGGGAGAACTTTTTTAAAAAATATATACATTCTGTTAAAATACTGATATGCAAAGAAATAACTTTCGGCCCTTGGCCAAACTTTAAATTCCCAATTAATTATAATCTTTAGTATTGACTTTATTAACTCTTGATTTCAGGACTGACTATATAAAGTATCAAATATAAGCAGTAGTGTAGCAAGAAATAATTGGCAGAAAGAATTATTCAACCAGTACTGACAGGTAAACCCTCCAAAGACTTTCTATGCACAACAAACGAGGAAAGAGTACAAGAGTTTCAATCCTAAATGGCTACTGTTATACTTCTTTCTTCTTCAGTATGAGCGGACCCACGTTATCGCCCGTCAATTCATTATGCTTATTATGGGACCCATCACAGGCAGGAAACTAAAAGGGAAAAAGAATTGCAAATGTTATTTTACAACGGGATTCATGAAGTAGAGACATCCGTGAGATGCTCATGCAGCTAGTGTGCCACAACAGCACACACCCACCATCCCAGCCACCACACTCCATGCAGGCAGGCATGTAGAGTGAAAAGAAGAATCTTTCCCAGCACTCAGGAGGCAGAGGCAGGTGGATCTCTGAGTTCGAGGCCAGCCTGGTCTACGGAGTAAGTTCTAGGACAGTCAGGGCTACACATAGAAATTCTGTCTTGAAAAACAAAACAACCAAACCAAAATAAAACAAAATCTTTGCTGATCCATATCAGTGAGTATAAAAGTTCAAAAAGGGATTGAAATAAGCTCTTGTTCTCTATGGAGCTCTACGTCTGAGCTAATTTCTTATTTGAATTAAAAAAAATAAATGTATAAAGTAAATGTTACAATGTTTTCTTATAAAACCCATTCTGCAAAGTTTCTGAAAAATATTAAAGGTGTTATTAAATGTTCAATCCATCCAAATATTATAATTAGTATTTTATTATAGGCTTTCCTCTAAATTTAAATTTTAAAAGGAAAATTATGATCCTACTGTATTATGTTTTTCTTCTATTAAGGCAGGACCTCATGTCATATGTTGGGGGGCCTGTGCATCAGATGTACGTGCTTGCCCATGGGGACACAAGTAGAGGCCAGAGACCGACATAATGATGTCCTCTTCAATTGCTTATTCACCTCAATTTTTGAGACAGGGCCTCTTGTTGAACCTGTGATTTCACTCCTGGTTGGCCAGGGAGCCTGTTATCTCTGTCCGTCCTCCCCCAACCCCTACCCCAGTGCTGGGGTAAAAAAAGTCCAGGAGTTGAACTGAGAGATCCTTATGCCTCTGCAGCAAAAATTTAATCCACAGAACCATCTTGCCATTAACTATTTCTTTAAAAACATGGTTTGTGTTGACTTCCCAATATCCCATCAGTTGTTACTTCCTATACTTTGACTGTTGCCTATTATATTGTTTCTAAAACTTTGCTGTTAAAAAGAATAAAACAGAAACATTTAAAGTTTCAAATAACCTTCACCAAATACAAAACAGATTTTATCAATTAGAATACTTACCACCCGAAATCCATTTTCTTCATTAAAAGCTACGTTATTATGGCTAGCATAGCTACACTATGCGAGCTATTTTACATGTATCATTTCACTAAATCTTCAAAAATATCTGCAAGACCTATAGAGAAGATTGAAAAAAACAAAACAAAACAAACAACAAAAGCAAAACAACTCTACAAACCAGAGATTAAAAGTTAATTAAGTCAGGGTAGGCATATTAGCCTTTAATCCCAGCACTCAGGAATCAAAAGCAGCAGTGTCTGAGTTCTAGGTGAATACCACCAATTTTAGGCCATCTAGTGCTACATAGTGAAACTCTGTTGAGAGAGACAGATAGAGAGACAGACAGAGACACAGAGAAACTGACCCAAACCAAACCAAGCTAGCAAATTTGCTTAACCTGCCCAAATGACAGATTGGCATCTAATATTAGTAATTACTTATTCTGACATCAAAGTTTAAGCTCCTTCCCATTAAATCTTAAATACTCTCTCTTGCAAAAAACAAATGAACAACAAACAAGAGGAAGTAGAAAAAGACAAGATCTCCTGAGTAAATTGGAGAGGGTTGAAGCGGAGAGGGGAGAGGCAGAAAAGGGAGCAGAGAAAAATGTAGAGCTCAATAAAAATCAATAAAAAAAATAAAAATTAAAAAAAAATATACTGCTCTAGACAAATGCTGAGCCACATGAGAGCATCAGAGTTCACTGCTCTCTTCTAATTCTATCAAGCAAAAAAGGTCAAACTTCATCTTGGGAATGTCAGTTTCAAATACTGAACAATATGGGGAAATCCCTAATCTCACAGAATTTCAACTGGAGATTGAGACAATCCTAAAGAACTCCAAACAACGTTATCGTACATGTAAATGGACATCTTACCGTCTTGGAACGCCAACACCTACAGTACGCTGCTTTAGTAAGACTCAGATCTTCAATGTTTATTTCGTTCACTACTTTAGGATTTTCTTTTTGTATTTTAAGATTAATCAAGCTATCCTTCTGTTGTTTCTTCTTCGGGAAGAATGGACGCACGGCAAGGTAGCCGAGAAGTGCAAGTACACCAAGGAAGGGCAGCAGGCGGAGCCATTCTGAAACTGAACACGTGCACAGCTGTCAGCATCTGCAGAGCTCCGTCAGGAACACAGACTGTCAAGTTCACGACTGCACAAACACAACAGACCCAGCTCTACTAGGATTATCTTCTTTTATTTGTAGGTTAACTCCATTTGAAAAACTGAAATTTTTGGAAGAGGTACTATTTTAAATATCCTATCTCATACATGCTAGGTATATTTGTGCTTATATTTACTTTTATCTGGACTTATAATGAACATAATTATGAACAAAGATGTTCTTATTAAGTTTAGGAAACATGTTCACTCTTTTCTCCTTAATACCACGTCTAAAACCATACAATGGAAATTCCACAAAAAATTTACTACTAACTTATAATTTCAGGCAGAACACAGCCTCAAATGTTTCAACTTACTTTTTAAGTAAAAAAAAAAATCCTTTAAAAAGCCAGGCTAATGAATTGAAACCTTTATATATTGAATAGTCTCATTAAAATACTTATTCAATACCTTTTACAGTATCTAGAAGGTCTCTAGAACATGAGAGATACAGACAAGGCAGACAAAATGGCTCTCAGAGGCCTGAGAATGCTCCCAGGCACCTCTGGGCATCCTTGCTGACCAATCCCAATCCTGCTAGGCACTGCAGCCTAGCTTAGGAAAGATTATGTGCCAAAGCATGCTAACAAATATCAATGATAAGTGATAGGCCGTGCTCCAGAGGCAACTGAACCAACTCATTTAACACGCTGTTGGCTTTGACAATTACATCATTTTAATATTACTCTGTTGTCACTTGTAGATAAAATGTAGTGCTGACAGGATTAGTTCATCAGCCCAAATCCAAGCCTATTCTAAGTCACCATGAATCAAGCTCCACAGATCTAAAATTAAATGTTTTTCTCTTGGAAGAACTACTCTGAAGACACTACAATTTAACCACTAACAAACATTAGCTCCTACGAAAACGCTGGGGATGGAGCTCAGGGGTAGAGTGCTGGCCTACCAAAAAGAAAAGAAAGTAGTTTTGATTCAACACAAAGCTAGAGATGGAATTTAACTTATTTATATAAGCAAATAATTGCTGAATGTAGAAAAATATTAAGTATTATTCAATGTAGTATTTTCAAATCACTAAACATGAAGCACCCGCTGTTCCTGTGGTATCCACAAACACAGGAGAGATGGGTATTTTCTTCTGTATCTCTGACTCACCACCTTGAGAGAGGGTTTCCTGTTGTGCCAGAAACTTGCCTTTTTCTAGGCTGACTGCCTGGCAAGCCCTCAGGATCTGCCTCCTCTGGCCCCTAAAACTAAGGCTTCTCGGGTGGTGGGACTCACCCTCAGGTTCTCATGCTACCTCCCTGGACCCTAGGCTATTAAATATGTATGATTTAATTTTATTCTTGTTATTATTTCACATAGGAACCTTATCAGGGAATGAGTGGCTCTACCTCCTGCTGACAAGCCCGACTCATGCAGCACTAGACACTCTGCTCTTCAAGCACTCTACCAACTGAGCGACATTGCCAGTCTTTCAGAAACTGCCCTTATGAACAATTAATTCCTTGGTAATCCATTATGCTAAAATAATATAATACAAATTTGATATGAGAGGTATTGTTACCTCCTATAACAAAGCAATAACATAAAAACACTGAATACACAGTCTATTTTTGAAGTTGTATTAAGTCAAAAGTTTTATAAAGTAAAAACAACAAGCATATAAAGCATAATTTAACTGCTTTGCATATATTTAATAAAACTATTTTTTTCTTTTTCTTTCTTTTTTTAATTTTCAAAAATTTTTTGAGACAGGATTTCTCTGTGCTTCTCTCCTGGCTGTCCTAGATCTCACTCTGTAGACCAGGCTGGCCTCTAACTCGGAGATCCACCTACCTCTGCCTTCCAAGTGCTGGGATTAAGGAGTGCACCACTATGCCTGGCTAAGATGATTTTACTTAAAGAATATAAACTACAAAAGACTCAAACAAATAAAAATCCTGTAAGATAAGCTACTTGCTTTGACAATTTTTATTCATACTAGTTACTGTGGGGAGGGAGAAATCACTAATTATAAACAGTACAGAAAATAAAGTGTCTGTCTTATAAGCACAAAGCCCTGAGTCCAATCCCCAGAACCCAGGTGTGGTGATAAGTGCTTGTACTAGTGTTAGGCAGAGACAAGAAGAAGGACCCCAAAGGCTCAATGGCCAGTCAGTCTAGCCTAATTGGTGAGTTCCACACCAATGAGACACTGTGTCTCAGCGTAGGCAGACAGCATTCTGAGGATGACACTCAAGGTTATCGTCTGACTTCCACACACAAGTGCATACGTGTGCATCAACACACATGAGTATGCCTACATGCACATAAAAAATGTAAGTGCATAATAAATACTTTCTGAATACAATCTCATCAATTTTCTCTTATAAATCAATTTTCAAGTTTTACTGTGTAAGTATTAAGTAGCCACTTTGTGGAGACACTGGCAGTGCAAGCACGGCTCGCTGTTTCCCTGCTTGCGGTGTCTGGGAAAAAGCAGGAATGCAGCAAACAACTCGATTACTGTTTATCTTTAGTTTAAGTCCAGGCTCCGTTGGTCTGTAAACCAGGAATAACAATCGTCTATTTGCTTCAAGGGCAATGTTGACTAAGTTTATTCCGGTTACTGCAGTAGGAATGGGGATGCTTGCTAGCAGATAATGAGAGGAGGGGCAGGCGGTAAGGAAGCAAAATACAGGTAATATAGTCACAGGCTGGACTAAGAGCCATGAAGAAAACAAACAAGGTGACATAAAGTCAACAAAACAAGCCGACTGACCAACCATCCAACCTGGTGGCACAGCGGTGAGGTGACTGCAGCCTCAGGTCAGGGAGTCAGGAAAGGCTTCTGAAAAAAAAGAAACCAGACAGACCTGAAAAGTTGGAAGCCAAAGGCTCACAGACTCAAGGATCTTCAAGACACAGAACTGTGAAACCTTGCAGACAATCTTCACTCAGCGAAAACTGCACAGCACTATCTGAAAGGAAGCTAGCGACACATTCCCCGACGAAGCTGCAGGGCACAGGTCTCCTCTCCAAGAGACCCCAGGTCCCGCTCGCTCTCTACCAGACTTGCGTACACCAACATCAAACCGGCAAACAGATCATTCCTATCGTGTTTGTTTACCTTTCTCTATGGCTTACAAAATTAAGGTAGAGAAAGGCTTTAAGGTGTTTAAGCAAAAAGCTTCTTATGCCTCTGAAACTAGCAGAACCCTCATTCACATGCTAGGTGAAGGACTGGGTTTCGAAGACACCAATATAATAAACGAACTACTAAAAAGCGCTTTCCATCCGTACGGAATACAGAGGCATAAAAAAGGATTACAATACTGCAAAATATGAGCAATTACATATCAGTCACGCAGAAGAGAGGTGATAATTCATTGCTGAGATGAACAAAATAATTTGGCTTTTGATCCTGTATGGGCCTTCCTGAATGCTGAGTAAGAGAACAGTTCCTAGGCAAACAAAGGGAGGAGCTGCACACCCAGCTGAAGAAGCTGAAGGCCAGGTGCAGACACTCACCAAAGCCCAGGGACACTCAGGGCCATGCTATCTTTGGAATACAATGGGAGAAGAGAAGGATTAAAGGCCTGAGCAAGTGTCACGTGATGAGAAGTTCTGATATGCAATAGGTAGGTAGGAATCTACTGATGTATGCGAATGTACTTAGAAAATTACCTACTAAGGAAGTCAAGCTAGACTCGGCTGGAAGACCCACAGGAGGAAGGCAGTGAGCAAGAGCAGAGGATGAGAATCCTACTGAAAGCTCATAGACCCAGCACTCGGAGATAGGATCACACCAACCTAGGCTACGGACGTGTCTCAAAAAAACAAAAACAAACAAAACACCCCACAAAGACAGGATCCAGAAGAAACTAATCCCACCTGGACCTAAAACAGAGAAAGGGGCTTGAGAGCCAGCTCAGAGGTTTCGAGTACTTATTGCTCCTCCAGAAGATATGAATTCACTTCCCAGCATCCACATGATGGCTCAGGATTGTTTGTAATTCAAGTTTCAGGGGATCCTTTAATGTCCTCCAGGCACATACCAGGCACAAATACGTGGTTTATAGATAGATATGCAGGCAAAACACCTACACACATAAATAATAATTTTTGAAGGGGAGGAGAAGAAAAGAAAGGAGGGAGAGGGAAAAGACTGAAGTATGGGGTGTAACACAAGTCCCTATTACCTAGACTTGGAACTCAGGTAAGTAATGCAGTCTAGATTCAAACTGCCAATCCTGTTTCAGCAGTCAGCATCTCAATTTCTTTAGTGCTGGTGGAAAGTTGCGAATATCACTGAACAGCTTTTATTATTATCACCTAAAGCCTAACTATCTCAAGATCAAAGGGCCAATAAACTTAATCAATTGTAAAGTTTTCCCCCATTCTATTATAAGCACAGCAGTATGCTAGTACCTAGGAAGCTGCACAGCCGATCACAAGTACTCAATGATCTGTGAGAGCCTGAGGAAACAGACTTTGAAAGAGCTATATGGCAGATAACGTTTGAGCCCCACACTGTTCTCCACAGAGGCTAAGTTCAGTCTTAATGACACTGCTTTTAAGAATAGATGAACTAAGCCGGGCGGTGGTGGCGCACGCCTTTAATCCCAGCACTCGGGAGGCAGAGGCAGGCGGATCTCTGTGAGTTCGAGACCAGCCTGGTCTACAAGAGCTAGTTCCAGGACAGGTTCCAAAACCACAGAGAAACCCTGTCTCAAAAAACCAAAAAAAAAAAAAAAAAAAAAAGAATAGATGAACTAGGAGAATAGAAAACTTACAATCTAAAAATATCTGTATAAGTATTTCCCCAAAAAATTCTAAAGATTTAGATTTTTCAAAAGATTTCTAAAATCAAACTGTCTTTCAGAAGTTATGTTAATAAAAACAACTCCTTTTGTTTACTTATGTTCTCCTATTGAGAAAACTCACCACGGTCCCACATTTTAAAAACTGAGGTATAATTTAGAGTAAAATAAACATACTAAGCACTCAGTTCTGTCTGTGACCAGTAACTGTACCCCTGCATCCACCAGTAAAGTTTTCTGTAAATATCTGTTTACCTGAGAAAGTCATTTCCTGAATCTGTCTAGAATATTCCTCCACTACTGATTTCTGTAACTAAACACTCTTTTATCCAACATAAAGTTGTCAATTGGTGATGGTGGCGCACTCCTTTAATCCCAGCACTCAGGAGGCAGAGGCAGGTGGGTCTCTGAGCTTGAGGCCAGGCTGGTTTACAGAGTGAGTTCTAAGACTGCACAGTAAAAACCTTTCTTGAAAAAAAAAGAAAAAAAAAGTTGCTGATATTCAATTAGTGGATTAGAAACTCATTTCTTTTTACTGCTGACCACTGCACTACACTACTTTATGACTATGACCTATTTTCCTATTGGCAGGTATCTGGATTGCTTCCAATATGGAAGGCCGTTCTAAATGAGGGTGGTACAAATACACATGAAGAAGATCTTAGGTGGATGTATGTTTTCAATCTTATCCTGCTTCTAAATTACAGGTTCAAAACTTGTCCCTTGCCGGGCGGTGGTGGCACACAACTTTAATCCCAGCACTCGGGAGGCAGAGGCAGGCGGATCTCTGTGAGTTCGAGGCCAGCCTGGTCTACAAGAGCTAGTGCCAGGACAGGATCCAAAGCTACAGAGAAACCCTGTCTCGAAAAACTTAAAAAAAAAAAATTGTCCCTTGGACATAATAGGAATGAACTTATTACAGGCTGGTATTCTTGTGTTACTTTGAAAAACTCATTTTGTTTTGTTTTTTTTCAAGACAGTGTTTCTCTGTGTAGCCCTGGCTATCCTAGAACTCTCTCTCTGTGGCCTCAAACTCAATAGGAAAGCATGAATAACAACAAAAGATTTTTTTTTTATTAAAGCTGTCTTCTAAGTTTTTATTTCAATGAAAATCTGTATTTTAGATCCTACAAGTGGCTCACTCAAGAGAATGAAATGTCACTATTACAATCTCCTTTGCAGGGGAGACAGCTTGAGGATTTCACCAAGCCTCCAGGACAGGACCTCGCGCTGCTGCTGCTGCCGCCACACTCAAAACAGAAAGAACGCTGTATTACCAGTACGCCGATGATTCTCCAACAAGTTACTAACACAAGTTATGATAACTAGACTTGTAGGTGCTGAACTGGGGCTTACACAGCTATTACTGAAGTGCCAATTTAACCAGGCCTGTCAGAGGGAAAAGGCAGAAGGCTCAAGTTCAAGGCTATCCTCAGCTACAGATGGAAGCCAGCCTGCATTACAGGAGACCCGGACTGAAAACAAAACCAAACAGACTGGGAGTTGTGTTACTGTTGAGAAACAGTCCTACATTAAATATTTTAAAGCGAGAGTCATCACACACTATTCATTTAGGAGGGGAAAGTTAGGGCTGAAATTCCTTATTGTCTTTAATAAGGATTAAGTATTTATCGACAGGAGGGACCTGTAAGAAATCATGCTTATAAAGTATTCCTTCCACTAAACTCTTCTGTCATATCATCTATAAAAAATTAAACTAATATGTCGTAACCAACATATATAAAGCAAGTTGCCCTACGCTGGTGTGAGAAAACTGTTCCCCTTTTTGACTGTCAGAAATCTAATTAATGTGTATTATTAGAATGAACTGTTTCTTTTTTTAATAAATAAATAGAAGAAAGAACTGGCAAAGCAGATCAATGCCACAAAATGACCTCACCCCTTTGGCTTTGCACTGCCAATTTAGTGAATACATTTAAGGGGATAATTCAAACGGGAAAACCAACCATTTAATTAATTAACATTAAACTACTACAGCTAATTTTTTTAAAAAAATTCTAAATTTCAGGCCATAAGGAAGCATGATCACAAAGCACGAGATTAGTAACTGTTAAATTGCAGAAGGATCACACTTAAAACGGTGCGTAAGCGGAGAGACGACAAAGGCGGGAAAGTCCATTCTTTACATGCTGCATTTTTTAAAAATCAAGTCTCTTAAAACAAGGGATTTTGATGTTTATAGAGAACTGAAGATTTGGACTATCTTTTCTTTTGTTATTTTCACGTCACTTCGGGTGTAGACATGTTTCTTTACTGTTTATTAGTCAGCTGCCATGCTTTCTCATCGATTTATCTCTTAATGGTGAAGTGTTAAAAAAACTCCACCTACTCAGTTAGCAGAGCAGCTGTCTCTGACAATAAAAATCCCTAAGTTTGTCAAAGTCTGTGTGATTGAGTTTATCCATCTAAATCTATGACAAGTCTTTTCTGTTGCCACCGTCATCCCTGAGAGGGAACTCGTTTTGAGGGAAGTACTCAAGTAAAAATAGTGAGCAAAATAATTCCCTTGAAATGGAGCTGACACCCGTCTCCAAATATCCTTACAATTCCATCTTCTGGTTCACAGACTCAATTTTATTTTTCTTTCATCAGGCTTCCAATGACAGTATTTTAAGTCAGCTATTTCTAAAAGGCTGCAGGATAATCAGACCTACTTATTTGCCTTAATTCATTTTTGGAACCCCAGATTCTCGGGGCTTGTCACTACCCTATACAGTCTGGAGATAGCGGACTTTGAGTCAAGACGTGAAGGACTGCATTATGGGAACCTTTTCACACAGGCAGGACCTCGACCCACTTAATTTCATGTTCTGAAATCATACCAGTCTTGGGACTACTTTCTGGCTACTTTTTCTCCACCTGCACTTGCTCCAGGAGCTGTAGTTATGGAGGTGACCTCAAGCCTCCACATACCACGGAGAACAGAGGTCACTTCGGATCTCGTTTATGAAAGCATCACACACGCTTTGCGTGGAGACCGCGCTTTTCCCAGCGCGCAGGGCGCCTCCTAAGGAGGACACAAAGTGCTTCACAAAATGCACGCGGTAGTGGGCACAGGAAGGAGACCCGCCGCCCCGAACTCAGCACCTCCTCCTGTACATCCGCCTGCGGGGGCGCCTCGGCAAGTTACCCTTCCCCACGACCCCGCAGCCCGGCGCCGCACAGGCGCACAAGGGCCCCGGGTCACGTGCAAGGCCTGGCGCCCCGCCCCGCTCCGTCCCTCGAACACCCCCACCCCCGCCCACGGGGCGGCGCGCACGGATACACGGCTGCGGGAGGGGTACCTGTGAGGCGGGCGAAGCCGGTAATGCTGTCGGGGACCGGCAGCTGCTTGAGGTAGGCGGGCAGCTGCACCTTCACGATGCGGGCCACGCTGTCCAGGACCATCCTGCCGCCGGCGTCTGCTGCCCGGCTGCTGCGCTTGCGTGAGACGGAAGCGGCCGGCGGGCTCGCGGGCTCGGGCGGGAGGTGGCCAGGCGGGCAGCGATTGGCGCGCGGCGAGTGACGTGCGCGCTGCGGAGCGCGTGCGGAGCCCGGCCTGCCACGCACCCGCGCGCCGGGCAGAGGCGAGGGACGGTGCTCTCTCCCCGGAAGCCGCCTTTCCAGAGTGAGTGTCTCCCGGCCTCTCCGCTTTGTGCGGCTCTGGCCTCACGGACCCCCCAGTTGGCTGCGGGTCCCGGCCTCGGCCTTGCAAGCTCCAAGAGCACCCCAACCCTGCGCAGTGCTTTGCAGGCTCAGGGAGAGCACCCCAATCTGTGCAGTGCCCGGCCCGGCCTTACAAGCTCTAAAGGCACCCCAACTTGCGCAGTCCCCCGGCCTCGGTCTTACAATCTCTAAAGGCACCCCAACTTGCGCAGTGCCCCAGCCCGGCTTTGCGAGCTGTAAGAGCACCCCAACCCTGTGCAATGCCCAGGCCCCGGCTTCACCTGCCTTTTAAGCCGGGGTTTAAAAGACACACAAAGCAGAACTACCTAGTGACTTTTCCTCCGTAGCTTTGGTCAGTCCTGCTCAAGTAGCCTAAGGCTTTTTTTTCCTTCCGGCCACTCTGACAAATTCTAATAGTCCATGGTTAGATTTCGTTTTTTTCAGTTCCCTGTGAGGGTGAGTTGACTAAAACGCTGGGGGGGGGGGAGTGTTTTGTTTTGTTTAAAGGGGTGGGGGGGAATGAGAGTTTATCTTTTGTTTTTGAGACTGCTCTGTCACCCTGGCTGTCTTCAAGGTCAGGAAGCTGGTTTAGCTAGAGCTTCCGACCCTCCTATCTTCAACTTCCAAATGCTGGGTCTACCACGCCTGTCTTGTTTCTTTGCTACAAGGGCTTGCTTCTTCTAAAACTTAAAAAGTATTTGTGAAGTTTTACTCTTTGGGCTGAAGTCAGACTAGCCAGAGTCATGCACTCGTTGTGGGGTTAAGGGCCCCTTTGGATCTGCTGTTGGGTAAGTTAGATCAGCAGGCTTGAAGGCCGCTGAAGATGGACCCCTCTTTCAGTCAGCCCCTTACAATACTAGGAACTGGAACTGCAGCTCTGATTGCTGGTCACAAAGAATGGGATCTAAATCCCATCTGGCCCTGGTGGGAAGCTTGCATTCTGACTGACTCGAAGATCTTAAGTTTGCCATCTGATGCTGAGGAGGGGGCTTTCTCCTAAGAACAAAGACATAACCATTGTTCCCTTAAGACTTCATCCAAATGGGCCTGTTACGAAAATAACCGTCAGGAGAATTGTCCAAGAAACTTAAGAGGCTCAAATTGTACAATGCCAACTTCTAAAACATGTCACAGCACCATAATTTCTTAGCTGTTGTTCACTGTCGCGTCTTGAAACTGTTTGCCTCTGCAGCGCTCCCTTTGGTCGCTGCCCACTTTGACCCTTTGTGAATGCACTACAATACCATTCAATAAAATCTGCCTTTCCACTATCCTGGGTCTTGGCTAATTTTTTTTTTTAACAGATCACAAGGAGTAGGAAGCTGAGGGGAGACTAGAGTAAGTACCTGGTCAATGTATCAGAACTTAAGAGTTCTATAGCATACAGTATTTTGTATGCTAACGTGATGTCAAGTAGCTTTATTTTTTATTGGTATTTTAAAGTGGAAACTGTCTTTTGAAATGCTTAAATCTAATCTCTGATCATCTTTCCCTAAAACACTAAAAAGAAAAGTAGCAGATAATGAAAACCTTGAAAAAATTACTGTCTATCTGGAAAGATGGCTCAACAGTTAAGAGCACTTGCCAGGTTCAGTTGCTAACTGCCACATGATAGCTTACAGCCATCCTTAACTTCAGTCACAGGTGATCTGAGATCCTCTTCTTACCTCTGTAAGTGCCAGTGATGCACACAGTACACAGACATAAATGCAGGCAAAACACTCATACACTTGAATATTCTTTTTATAAAAGTTATAAAGATATTCTTGGTCCTACTAACTATAAGATTCTTACTGGGAATGTTTTCTTAGATTCCCTTCAAAATTTTTATCTTGTTTTATTTTCTTTTTAAGTATATTTTTAGTGTGTGGGTGTTTTGCCTGAATGTATGTCTGTGCACCACTTGCATGCTTGATAACTATGAAGACCAGAAGATGCCTTGGACTGGAACCACAGACTGTTGTGAACCACCATGTAGGTTCTGGGAATTAAACTCAGGTCCTCTGTAGAATAGCTAGTGCTCTTAACCACTGAGCATCTCTCCGGCCCCTTTTATTTTCTTTTTTCTAAATAGTCTCAGGTAGTCCAATATAACCTCGCATACACCACTACAACTGGAACATTCCAATATTTTGTTTTTCACTTCAGCAATCCTGCTGTCTTGGGTGTGGTGGCTGTATCTTGGTTGTCAATTGGATTATATCTAAAATTAACCAAAACTGCTGGGTACACCTATGATGGATTTTTTTTTCTTGAATTATTTGAAATGGGAAGACTCAATTTTAATCCAGATCTTTCGAGGTGGGAAGATCCACCTCCAATCTGGGCAGCCTATATAAAGAATTTGGAAAAAGGAAGCTTACCTCTCTTGGCTTGCTTGCTCTTTGGCATTAGCACCTACTTTGGAATTTCAGTGTACACTGAATTCCAGCTGAGACATCCAGCTTTGTGGACTGAACAGCTACTGGATTCTTGGACCTTCTAGTAATAGACAGCCAGTGTTGGATTAGCTAGACCACAGCCTGCCATTCATTCTGAGAAGTCACCTAGAGATTGATAGATGATTGATTAGAGAGATAGGTAAAGATATTTAGATAGAAAGATGAGAGGTAGACAGACAGAGAGAGAGAGAGAGAGAAGATTCATTCAAGTCTTCTCCTCTAGAGAACTCTAATACATTGGGTATTCATAAGGCAACTACTGAAACCACATTCAAAAGAGAAGTAACATGTTTCTCTGACTACCTTATGACATCGTTCTCAACCAATTCTGGTTTTATTGACACTAAGATGTCATCTTCAAAAAAACACCAAGAAACTACCTGAGACAGAGTCTTATGTCGCTCAAGCCAACTTCAAAATCACACTCCTTCCTTTGCTTCTCAAGTGCTAGGATTATATGTACATACCAGCTTTCCTTTTGATTTTTACATGATTACTACCTGAGCATTGTAATCCTTAATATGTCAATACTTGATATGTCTATTAAACACTTATTTAAGATTTTGGTAAGTATAAAATGCTTACAGGATCCCTATGCAGATAAGAAATATTTGTATCTACAATTTCCCCATTCCCTATGAATTTATTTTAAATAAACTTTTACTGTAAGCATGACATCATACAGAAAAATAGCCAAATTGCTCTGCACCAGTGGCATTGAAAAGGTAACTAGATAACACTATGTATACAACTATATTACTGTCTCTTAATTATTACATGTCTATCCCCCAGTGTTAACATATTCTGAGTTTTAAAACAAAATATTGTATTTACTAATACTTAACCTTTATGTAGATTAAATTGTACATGGTATATTTTGTGCTTGGCTTTATTTAACATTGTGAGAGTCATCCATCCACTGTTATGTATTATCCTATCAGTATGCCACAGTTTATCCGTTTTGCTGTTAATGGGTATTGAATATGTTTCCACTGTTTGGTCGAAGGCATGCTTTCAGGAATATTGTACATATTTTTTTAGTGTGCTCCTATGTGCATTTTGGTGGTGATTCTCTTTGATCTAACTCACTGGTAGAATTTTTAGGTTCCTGTGACTTTGGAGGTCACTATGAAAGTAGGTCAAATATGAAAGGGAGGAACGCTTCCCAGGAAGCATGGTTTCAATGAATGAGACATATTATTTGTTGGCAACTTTGGGTTCCGTGTGTGTGCTATGTGAACATGTCCCTGTGTCTCTGCGTGTGTGTGTATGTATATGTATGTGTGTGTATCACGTGTAGAACTTTGGCTATCTCCCCTGATCCTCTTCATTTTGTTTTTGAGAGAGTCTCTCACTGAACCTGGAGCTCATGGATTTGGATAGGCTGACTGGGCAATGAGCTTTAAAAACCTGTCTCACTCTCTCAGCACTGGGGTTACAGATACATACCACAATAGGCTTTTTACATGGGTCTTTGTACTTGGGTAGCATTTTATCTCTTGAATCATCTCTCCAGCCCCAAGTTGGGACTTTTTACAACATAAAGCCTAAAGGTAGAGAAAGGGGCACTCTTCTGGTAGGAGTAAGGGATCCAATTAAGAGAAGGAATTTGGATTGCCACTGCTTGAGGGAATACATTGTATTTGGAACAGATTTTTCGTAAGATTTCTCTCTATCCTCTGGCCATGGCCTACTGGTCCACTAATATATAGAGTGGGAAGTGGAGTTATCGCCTAAGGGCCTCGACTAGGACTCAGATCTTCCAGCAGCGTGTGTTTCAGTCACCCTGCCTTAGGAAAGAATTTCATCCGACTTAGTTGTTGGCAGAGTGAGAGAATACTAGCATGTATAGTAAACAAAAGCAACTGTGTCTGAGAATCCAGACAATAGGATCAGCTGAAAAGTGGGATCTAGAAAACAGATTATTTTTCTTCTCCACCATGTGTGAAGCGAGACTAAGACCATTAGTACTTTAAGCCCACCAGAATTTAGCTGGGTCCTAAAATGATTCAGGCATTACAAATTCTGATCTGTATATCATGTGGGTTCTTAGACTACATATATTAACTGAAAGCTTGAAGTTGATGAACTCTGAATTTCAAATACACACCACTTCTATTCGGTCCTGTGAAGTTATGGCAAGCTCTACTTTGTTTTCCAGTGGCTTGTGGAAGAGACAAGGTTTTCTGGAAAAAGCCCCAATTACTAGGCCATAGTTCCAATTCTTTGTATTACTTCAATGAACTCTTGCAATCTTCACTAGTTTGGAGCTTCCCAATGCCTTTAAAAACAGGTATGCTTGTTTTATTTTGATTTAGCTTTTCTTGTTTGCAACAAAAGTATGTGCAAAACTTAGTTTTTCACTATCAGAAGTACAACCTAAAGAATCCTGTC